CAGAAAACTTATCTAGGGCCTTAAAAACTGCCCAGAATGCCAGAGCCTTGAAAATCAAGCTGACCAATAAGTATTTCCCTTGCCTGACAGTCTCCATAGAGCTGGTAAGTGGGAGGAGGAACACTGCCACCATGTTCCAGGAAGAAGGCAGTCATGTTGTTGGATTTTTTGACAGTCAGTTGCCAAATGAAAGGTTCTTGGTTTGGACCTCCCCAGCAGTACCAAAGAGGACAGGTCAGCCTTAGGGTTTAGTTGTTTCTGTTAAAATACTGCTTTTGAGAAGTAATTGGTTGTTCATAATTAAAGATTAGTTTTTAAACTAGTCAGTTTTTTCTCGTTTGAAATGGATGTGATTATATATATATATTTAACTAGAGTGTTGCCTTTTCTTTAGGTGGTAAAACTGCATCTTAGTTCTCAGGCCTTGTGTGTCCTAGTCTTTTTCTTTCTTCTGGTAGTATGGCCATCAGATTTAGAAATTAATCCACTTCTTCTTTGAAACAGTTTTTCCTCCTACTTCATCCCTTTAAGTTACTGTTGTTGTTGCTGTTATATGCCATCGAGTCACCTGTATTTCATAGCGACCCTTTGTACAACAGCCCTAAACCCTACTCTATCCTGTGCCAATCTTATTTTCTGACACACCTTTCCCCATTACCCCAGTCACTGAATCAGTCCATTTCATAGAGGGTCTTCCTCTCTTTTGCTGTCCTTACACCTTCCCAAACCGTCAGTCCCTCTTCGGGGACAGGTCCCTTCTTGAACATGTTCAAAATATGTCAGACGAAGCTTTGGAATCCTTGCCTCTAATGAGCAGCCTGGTCTCACCCTCTCTGTCAGATTAATTTAGTGCATCACTCTCCCATGTCATATGCCCTCCTCCTAAACTCCCAAGTGGTTCTCACTGCTCATTAAATGAAGTCCAAATGACTTGATGTGATGGACAAAGCATTTCATGTTCTGACCAAACCTATCTAGGAACTAAATTGCAACCTATGAGTCCAAAGAATTCCTTGAGTCTTCTCCCTTTTCTTTAGCCCCAGACTTTGTTCACATTAGGGCAACCACGTGGAATCTCTTTTCTTCTCCATTTATAAAATCATATCTTTCTTTAGTGCTCAGTACTAATGCCATCTCCTCCTCAGCCTTTCCTTGACTTTGGAGTTCTCATTACTTGCTGTATTCACTTTATATATCTTGTGGGCATTGTTTTCAGTTTAAACCTATCTGTGGAAGATGTCTCAGCTTTTCCTCACAATACTTGATTTTAACTGATTTCATAGTCAGTGAGTCAGGATTTCCATGGCACTATATACGTTGGAAAAGCAAGAAGGTAGCATAAATACTTTTCTAAGAGTATATTACAGATCTCAGAAAAACATATAGCAGCAGATTAACCTATTTTATCCTTTCAGTAGTGTAGAGAATGGATCAGGCTATGTCCTGAGAGCAAATACTGGTCTTCCTGCAATATAACAATCTTGCTTTTGTTTCAAATCTTTATATGTACTGTTCTTTCTGCCTGCAAGTCTGTTCACCCTCTCTTTCCAGAGACTGCCTCCTTTTCCTTCCCTGATCTTCCTAGTCTAAAGATCCTTCCCCCTTACTCATTTATTTTTTTGAGGCTTTTATGAATGTCCCCAAAATTAGCCTTTTTGTTTGTTTTCTTACCTGTTTTCTATCTGTTCCACTTAAACATAAGAGATTTTATTTTAATCACCATGCTCTAGCTCTTACAAGTCCTCAAAACAGAAGAGGCATTTTGTAAATATTTGTTAATGAAGTTTGAGTGAATGAATTAAGAATATTTCATATAGGTTTGGCTTATCAACTTATTTAGGTCTTTTAATTCTTCTGGTGGGGTATTTTGTTTTTGTTGTTGGGTTTTTTTTGTATTGACATTATCAAAATACATTTCCTTCTTCTTTTGCAGTTATCTGTATCAAGCAGCAGTCGCATTGTGACTCATGACATCCCCATAAAGGTTATTCCTAGAAAACTCTGGAAAGATTTACAAGAACCCACAGTCCCTGACTCTGACGTGAGTTGATCCCTGGAGTTTTACTCTTCTTTGTAGATTAAATAGTTGGTTCAGGTTCTCTAAGTCTAATTTAGTCTTGTAACCAATTTCCCTTGAAAACACTATGGTATTAAAAAGGGATGATAATTCCTTTTAAAGTAAATATTTGTTATATTTGTCATTTATAATTTACATAGATCCTCTTAAGACAATGCAGTGTTGTATGAAATACAAAAATAGCACCTTTTCCAAGCAGGAGAAAAAAAAATGTGTTCTTCAATAAAAGCTCTTAAACAAAACCAAACCAAAGCTAAACTATTAGTTTGGAGTACAGTCACTGTTTATCCAGGGTGCTGACCTTCACCAGCAGTTTGAGTCTCACAATCCCCAAGAGGATAGAAACCCAGGATATGTATAAAAGAGCCAAAAGGCAAGACGTCTTCATAATTTATACCCTGTTTTAACAATCATGTTTATAATAATCCCAGATCTACAGAAAATAAAGATGATAGCAAAGGGTTCCATACGATTTGTTGATAGTTTATTTAAGAAGTTACAGAAATACACTGGGTAAGTTACTTTTTTTTACTTGTAATTGAGGGCATCTACTTTGATGTGGGCAAAGCCGGGGCTTTATAACACATCACTAGCAACACAGACATAGCTTTGATGCAGTATTTTTGCCTAGTACTGAGAAGGCCCATTTGCATCCCAGGAGTAACGTCCCTTTGAGGACAGCCTGCTGAGTGCTTGAGCCTCCTTCCCTCAGATTTCTCTGTAAGAATCTTGTGGGAATTGCTGCCATTTCTGAACCAGAAGAATACCTGCAGGGACTTGCTTGGTGAAGTAACCGAACATAGGCATTTGGTTCTTTAAATTTGCTTCAATATCCATGCATTGTTAAAATTAGGACTTCCTCACTACCCCCATCTTTTTAAAAGAAATTTATTCATAACTTAAGAACATAGAATTTTAGAGATTTTCATCACACATGCATTCTAAAAGTAGTTATTGACTAATTAATATCATTTGTTGTGTGTGTAAATATTGTTGTTTGCCATCTGGCCAGAACCAACTGACCTTCAGGGGTTTTCACATAAATCACATGGGAGGAGATTTGCCTATCCTTCTCCCACGGAACATCTGATGGAATTGAACCAGATGCCTTTGGGATTTCAGCGCTAGGCCACAAGAACTTTCTAATATTGCTAGTACTTTGAATTTTTCTCATTGACTTTTGTAGGTTAGCATTTACTTACCAGTGTTGAAGACTATGAAGAGTGTTGTGGAAAAAATGAAAAATATCAGTAATTACCTTGTAAGTAGTTACTTCTTTTCAACTCTTAAGTGCAAGTGTGTATAGCTTATCATCTGGGACATGGTCTGGATGAAATAGGACAGCTTGTGTTTTGGACCTTGTGGGAACATGTAGTATATATGTGTGTATCCTATCCCCACCCTCAAGCATCTTTGGCTTTTTATTAGGGGTTAGAGCCATTAGATTTGTAAACTTCCCACCACAGTGGGAACAGGAAGCCAAGAGGAGGGAGCATAGAAGCCACACCTTCAGTGTCCCCCTTCAGACCCTGCCTCCTGGTGCCTCTCGTTCCTGCCCCATAAGTTTGCCCAAATAGAATTCAGGAACATTATTTGGCACATACCTGTCTTTTTCTCAGCCTTCCCAGGTTACCAGAAGAAACTTAAAAATAAGGGTTGAGAGCATTTAGAGTCTCTTGGCCAGGTACTTGTTTACTGAGGCTAGACCAGTGAGGACCTGGCTTATTGCAAGAACCTGCACAATCACAGTTGGCCTGAGAAACCTCTTCTTATGCTTCTCAACTCACTCAGTGAGGAGAAGTTTTTACGTAATTTTGGTTAATATCTAATATTTGTCAATATTTACAGCAATTTTTGCTTTTTTCCTTACATTTTGGTTGGTTGGTATTTGGTTTTTTTAAAAAAATCTTTGCTACTGTGAATAATGCGGCAGTAATCATGGGTGTACATTTATCTGTTTGAGTCATGGCTCTGGTTTTTTTGGGATATATTCCCAGTAGTGGAATTACCAGGTCAAATGATATTTCTATTTCCAACTTTTTGAGAAAGCATTAGACCGCCTTCTATATAGTGGCTGTACCATTTTACATTCCCACCAAATAAATTAAGGGTTCCAATCTCTCCACAACCTCACCAGTGTATGTTATTTGCTGGCTTGTTGAACTTTGCTATTGTTGCTGGGCTTTTCTTCACATTTTGAATGGTACATTACCTATTTTATCTGCTAATGTAGAAGGTTTTTAAGTAATCAGTTATGTTAATGACCATGAGTTTAGAGTAACCACACTAATTCCCACATGTCTTTGATAAGCTAAGACAATTTCCCAAATTATATACAGCTTTATTCTAAGCAGTTCTTAGGCCAAGTAGGTGAATACTTTAGTTTTCACATTTATTTTAAGTTGGTTTCCACCTGGCAAGGGCATGAAAGTGCACACTGTGGTGTGCTACCAGGATTATACTCATCCACATCTGAGATTATCTGGATTCTCCTTTTGCTTGCCCCTTACCTCTCACCCCTTCAGCCCTCTCCACTGCAACTTAAGCCATTAACCGCTAAACCCACTTTTTAGCTTCACCCTCTTCCTGTTTTATTACTTTCCACTGCAGCTAACATCTTCCAAAAAACTGCCTTTGGTTATGTGGTTTTAAATTTTAAGAATCTATGTCTTTTACAATTTTTTTAAAATTTATTATTAATTTCAGTAAAAATTTACAGAGACTTTAGATTTCCATTCATTCATTGTTGCACTTTTCTCCTCTCCCAACCCTCCCCTCTAGTACACTACCCTCTTGGAAAAGTAAAACAAAAATTCTTTCATTGCTTTACAAACCCTCCCCCAGGTCCACTCCACCATGTGGCCTTCGCTCTAGACTCCTGTCATGACAAAAAAAAAAAAACAAAACACCTAATCACATATCCCTTTTAAACAGTTTTCTGCCTCATCTGTTTCAATGCTGTATACATTATTGAGCCCATCTTTCTCAGTCTCTCCCCAACCCCAGTGTCAGTCCTGTTTTACAACAGTGGCACCATGCAGTATTTGTCTTTTTGTGACTGAGTTACTTCACTCAGCATAATGTCCTCCAGGGTCACCCATTTTGAATATATTACACGAGTTCCTTGTTTTTCAATGCAGCATAGTATTCCATTGTGTGAATATACCACAGCGTCTCTCCATTCGTCAATCCATTCATTTGTTGATGGGTACCTGGGTTGTTTCCAACTCTTTGCTATGAGAACAAAGCTGTGATAAACATGGGTGTGCATATATCTGCTTGGATGGCAGTTCTGGTCTCTTTGGGGTATATTCCCAGTAGTGGAATTGCTGGGTCAAATGGTATTTCTGTTTCCAGCTTTTTGAGAAAGCGCCATACAGTCTTCTATAGTGGTTGCACCATTTTACACTCCCCCCCAACAGTGAATAAAGGTTCCAGTTTCTCCACAACCTCTCCAGTATTTGTTGCTTGCTGTTCTGTTAAATTTTGCAATTCTGACTGGGGTGAGATGGTATCTCATAGTTGTTTTGATTTGCATCTCTCTAAGAGCTAGGGATTTTGAACATTTCTTCATGTGCTTGTTAGCCATCTGAATGTCTTCTTTGATGAAGTGTCTGTTCATATCCTGTGCCCATTTTTCTATTGGATTATTTACCTTTATCTTGTTGTGGTGCTCAAGTATTTTATAAATTCTGGATATAATTCCCTTATCTGATATGTCATTACCAAATACTTTTTCCCAGTTAGTGGCTTCCCTTTTTACCCTGTTGGAGAAGTTTTTGGATGTACAAAGGGATTTGATAGAAGGAGAATTGATGCCTTTGAGCTGTAGTGCTGGAGAAGAGTATTGAATGTTCCGTGGACTGCCAAGAAAACAAACAGATCCATCCTGGAGAGGGTTAAACCAGGCTACTCCTTGGAGGCAAGGATTCTGGGGCTTCGTCTGACACACTTTGGACATGTTGTAAGGAGAGACAGGTCCTTGGAGGGGGACATCATGCTTGGTAGGGTAGAGGGACAGCGCAGGAGGGGAAGGCCCTCTATGAGGTGGACTGATTCAGTGACTGGAGTAATCGGGATGGGTGTGTCAGAGGTAATGCGACTGGCACAGGATAGAGCAGGGTTTAGGGCTGTTGTACATGGGGTCACTATGAGTCGCAAACAACTCAACGGCACATAACAACAACAAACAACAGGGATTTGATTCTTATTATTAATATAAATTTTAAAGTATTTTCAAAATCTCTGTCCACATGACTAAGTGTAAACTTTTGATTTTCACAGTCTTCCCACCTTCCTGCTACCCCACCAGGGCCCCTGCAGGACTCAGGGGACTCTCTAAATCATGCCACCACTTCCTGTCACAGTCTCCTTGTCAGTTTCACATGGGGTTTTCATCCTTCCAAAATTTCCCCTGGAAAGCCTTGAGCAATTCCCACTCTTTGTGTAGCTGCAAGACCTCTCCCTGGCTCCCCTGACTGAGTTCCCCCATCCACTTTGTGCTCTGTACAGTGCTGTGAATGTCCCTTATCCCCTGCTGAACCACCAGCGTCTTAAAAGGAAAATGCTGAATTGCCTATCTTTGCACGTCAATCACTGAGCAAGTAGTTAACAGTTCTTGAATGAATCTGGCATGAAATATGGCGTTGAATTGCAAAACTTTGAAAATTGCAGTTTTCTGAAGCAGAAGGCCCAAAGTAGCAGCTAGCCCACCCAGTGTTTTCTTAAACTCTGTGAGAATTTGTCCCAAGAAAGCCAGGGCTTGGATACTTCCCTGCAGCTACAGATAGCACAATCCTTTCTGGAGGGAGAGAACATGAGTTCTGAGGAGATGTATAAGGGCTGAACTCAGCCCTTATCTCCCATTCTAATAAGTATGGGGATTTGTATGTCACTATCATAAGTTGTTGTTGTTGTTGTTGTCATTAGGTACTATCAAGTTGAATACGACTTGTAGCGATCCTGTGAACAAAAGATCTGAGCCTTTTTCCATCCTGTGTCATCCTCACACTTCCTGACCCTCAGAGCCCATTGCAGCAGTCACTATGTCAGTCCACCTGGTCGATGGTCTTCTTCTCCTTTACTGACCCTCCACTCTTCTAGCATCATGCCTTTCTCCAAGGAATAGCCTCTCCTAGCAGCATGCCCAAGGTATATGAAGTGAAGCCTCATCATTCTTGCCTCCAAAGAGCACTCTGGATTCACCCTCTCCAAGACTTATGTTTGTTCTCTTGGCCACCATGGGATGTTCAGTGCTCTTCTCGAACACCACAGCTCAAAGGCATCAATTCTTCTTCTATCATTCTTATACACTATCATAAGTACAACTGCCTAAATCATACTCCCTATCCCCACCCAAAAAAACCCACTTACAGGCTGTTTTTCTCTCTGGAGTTCTTATGTGAGAATAATGTTGTCACCTCTGCTTGCCATTGGGATTTAATTTTTATAGATATGGTTTTCATTTAGAATGTGCTTTTGATTTACTTGGAGTCAGCCTGTGGACTAAGTTGATGTTGATTCACTTTGGGGCTGGCTTCCTTTAAGACTGCTCTGGGGACTTGCAGAGAGTTAAGAGAGTCCCAGGAGAGAAAGACAGGATTAATTGAAGGGTCTGTTTGTTCTTATTCTTTAGTGAGAATGAGTCAGCAAAATAGAGCTGTAGAAAGATAGCTAGATAGAATCATCAGAAATGGCTTTTCTCCTCTTTTCTGGAGTATCGGAATTATTTTTTGGTGTAACAGTTTCAATCTAGAATTACTAAGTGAGAAATTATCAATGTATTGATGTTGTTGTTTGGTGCTGTTGAGTCTTAGATGACTCATAGCGACCCTATGGACGAACAGCCTGAGCACTGTTCGTACATAGAGTTTCCGGAGGCAAGCCATTTCGGAAGTGGATGCTGCTCCTGCTTCTAGGCTTGATTTAGTCGGGAAGCTCCAGCCAACACTGTCCACCATGGGTACCCATTACCACGATTGGCACATCACTGTCACAGGCTTCAGCATCACAGCAAACATGAGTTACCTCTGTACATCAATGCACAGACCAGTGCTATACCACCTAGAACAACATGGGTGCTTCCTCTCCCAGCTGCCTTTTGGCTTAAGGCTGCCTCCTGGTTCAAACCCTAGGCCCAGGCTGGCTAGCCTCGCTCCTGGGGACAGAGCAAACCTGCACGTAACAAATACATGCCTGGAAAAGCAGTCGACTCCAAAAGCTTGCCACGATTCCTGTGCTCACACCACCATGCTCCTTCTG